ACTCATCCTGGGGCCTGCAGTCTGGCCCTCCAACAGTCTGAGGGACAGTGAACTGGCCCCCTGTTTAAAAAGTTTGAGGACTCCTGCTATTGATCAACTAATGTCTTTTATGCTCAAGGCACTGTGCTAGTGTATACCCTAGGAAAAAGCAGAACCAATTCTTGCCTTCAGAGACATAACAACTTAGAAGAGATGAAGCTACTCAGAAATCATGGTAGGCTGGGTGCAGTGGCTCACACCTGTAATCCCAGCTACCTGGGAGGCTGAGGCAAGAGGATCACTTGAGCCCAAGAATTTGAGATTGCTATACCACGGCACTCTACCTAAGGCGAGAAAGTGAGACTCTGTCTCAGTCAGTCAATCAATCAATAAAATAACTGTAGAAAAAAGGAAGCTATGACACGCCCAAGTGATAGGGTAGAAATGGTTTGATTTCCTTAGACATCGGTGACTATAAAGTAGATCGCCCATGGGAGTTAGTAAATCTCCTTTCTGTATAGAATTTGCACCTTTAATGGTATGGCGTTTTCCAAAGAGAGTTCTAATCATATCATTTAAATGCTTCTTCCCAAATTCATTCCCATATTCATTCCCATATTCAACATGATTCAATTGATGAATTTCAACGTCTCCTACAAATCTTCTTTTTGGAGCTATTAAAATGTAGTCGTGTTAAAAACATGTCCACACAAATACTTTTGTGTAAGAATGTTCATAGCCACATTATTCAGAATAGCCAAAAAGTGGAAAAAACTTCAGTGTTCATCAACTAATTCATAAGTGGATTTTAAAATGTGGTTTATCTATAGAGTAAAATATTATGTCATTCAGCCATAAAAAGAAAATGAAGTAGTAAAAAATACTACAACAAAGATGGGCCTTGAAAACATTATGCTGAGTAAAAGAAGTCAGGGACTCACAAGGCCACATATTCTACGATTCCCTTCATATGGAATGTCCCAAACAGGCACATCTTAGAAATGGAAAGTAAATTAGGGATTGCTTAACGGGAATGGGATATAGGAAAAATTGGGAGCTGACTACTAATGACCACAGAGTTTCTTTGGGGGGTGATGGAAGTGTTCTAGAATAAGATAGTGGTGGTTACACAGCATGTGATACTTCTAAAAACCAGTGAATCTTTCTGGGCATTGTGGCAGGTGCCTATAGTCCCAGCTACTCAGAAGGCTGAGACAAAGAGGATCACTTGAGCCCAAGAGTTTGAGTTTTCTGTGAGTTATGACACCACAGCACTCAACCAAGGACGACAAAGTGAGACTGTCTCAAAAAAAAAAAAAAAATTATGTATGGTAAATTTTATGTCATATAAATTTTATATCATATTTTTAAAAAATCTACCTTTATACAAAGTAATGGGAAGCAGTACAAAATATATTGACGCGTGTATAATTTGGAATCCAGCAAACCTGGTTTCTGATCTGGGCTCCACCCAGTGTGTGTCATCAGGCAAGCTCTTTATCTGTTCTGATTTGGTTTCTTCGTCCATTAATGTTAGTCCACTTCACCATGAGGCATGAAGACGAAATACAATCACATATATAAGGAGAGGAGCTTTGCCTACCGCCTGATACATGGGTCATTACAAAAGTTTGGAGATAGACACAAATCA